AGGACTTACTGGTTAGACAAGTGGCTTCAGGAAATATGCACTTGAAGGAAGCATGCTTAAACAAAATACAGGAATTCCCTTAAATAAACTTAGATAAATCACCGCTATAAAATCATTAGCAGGGTAATGAGCTATTTGTGTCATTAAGCAGTGGCATAAGCTTAGCAAAGAAAATGTTGCTTTACTAGTGGGACACATTAATTAATTCATGATAGAGTGAAAAAAAAATATCAAAGCTTAAAAAAATGCATTTGCAGAGCTGACAAACTCAGGCTTCTGACACAGGGTGCACTTGCAGAAATGGTGGCCATTTTAGCTCTACTTGTCTCTTTGGCCTCCAGCATTGAGGAATCATCATACTTGAGCTGTATGTAAATCTTTCTGGCTGAAGTGTGTAAGGTTTGTCTGAACCCAGACAATTTTTGTGGACTCAGGCATAGTGTGATCTGAAATGGGATTAGGTGATCTGAAATAACTTGCTCAGGGATCGGACAGGATGGACCCAAACTGTAGTAGTGGTTTTGGTAGATTTTGGTACAAACTGCTTGTGCTTATGAACTGTGAGTCTGGCAAGGACCAAGGAAGTGTGAATGTCTCTTTTGGATCTGCAGTGCCAGCATGGCTGATGTTAGTGCTGCAGGAATCAAGCTGCCTAAATGTGTCACTGTAGCAATTAGTTCTAGTTTTTGGGGGTTTTTTTTATGTGCAATATGCACGTGAGGATATTGTCTTACTGCTTCTCTTTTTCTTTCTTTTTTTCCCTTGGGTTTTAGGTTTCATAGACCGTAGCAGTTCAATTCTGACTACTATGCCATCTTCAAAACATAACTAAAAGGAACCATAAGTGCTGGTATTATTCACTTCCCTATTACGTACAATGTAAATCTTCTGAACTGCCTTTTTTTCTAAAAAAAAAAGAGTAGAAAAATAAAGATTAAAAAAGGAAAATTGTATTTACATGTGATGGGTACTGCAGCATCATCAGACCTGCTGGTTCAAGCTTCAACAACAGAAAATACCCCTGGTGGGAATTGTGCCAAGACTTGGCATCTATGTATAAGACTTTCCTGGCATGTGGATTTGCCATACATGTTCAAGCCCAGATGGTGTTGCATCCATTTCATCTTCTGACACCCCTCATCCTGACAAGCCTCTATCATCCAACTCTAGAGATGGTGTTCAGGGAATTACTGGCCTGGGTGAAGTCTCCAAAAGACTGGCACCTATGGCATTAGAGCACTTATACCAAACACACTGTTCAGGCTGTGAGCACCTTATGAGCACAGTGAAGGAGGAGAACTCTACGGGCCAGCCCATCTGTGAATATCATCTGACTGGAAAGGTATTTCTTTCCCTGGAGAAGTTGATGTGTTCCTCGGCTCCCAAGCAGAAACAGGCATCACCTGTAAAGCGCAGGACTCCCTGCTGAAGGCTGGTTCAGTTCTAGCAGCTGTTGATTGTTCATCCCTGGCAAGCATTCTTTTCTAAACCCCGTTGTGAGCCCATCAGCAGTAAGCGACAAGAATGTTAAGGACAAGCAAGCAAAACCCATCTCTTCATGGTCACTGCATGGCATTTGCTCAGCTTGTAGTTTGTTTTTGCACCCGAGCCTGGTGATCGTGCGAGAGCCGACGCGCGCCCACCAGCGAGAAAGGCGGGAATTCCCACTGGCTCTGCAGCAGGACACATGACAGGAGGAACCGGGGGTTCAATGAGGAATGTCTATACTCTCAGTATCAGGTGTTCGAAGAACTGATCCTAAACTCATACCAAGAAAAAAAATAGACAGATTGTGTTACCTGGCCTAACAAAAGGAGTCTGGTGCAGTGGTGCAGATGGTGGGACTCGTCACCAGTACCGGCGCTGAGGCGTAAGGACAGGAATTCAGAGGTGGTGTTCTGGTTTTAATTTATTTTTATTATACTAATTTAACACACAAGCTGACCCAGTAGAGCTCAGAGAGCTGGTCCCTCTGGGCCTGGTTTACCTGCCAGCTTAAGTGTCTGCTTAACACTAAGCAAGCATGCAAACAGCCTCATTGCATTCAAGAATATGTCTGATAGACTTCATTGAAGCTGCACTCATTTAAGTGCTTTCCTGAACTTAGGCCAGCACCTTTCAAATCAAGCCCTTAACTAGTATAATGCCAGCAAGCTGGGGCAAACATTCTCTACGATTCCTTTCCAGCTCTTAAACTATTATGCCATCTTTTGGACCAGCGGCCCAAAGCACTGTAGCAACATTACTGTAAGAAGTTCCAGACTATTTCTTCAGGAGACCTTTAATTCTTCCGTAATAGCTGTTTTGCTTTGACAGTTTGAAACAGAGAGGCCAAAGTTTTTTACTACACTATTTCTGTTATTATTTTATTTTTCCTTCTCCCTGTCTTCCATGCATCTATCCACTCTTCTGCGCTTGCTCCCTCTCTACCTCCCCCAGTGCCATGCTAACATTGCCCTGCCCTGCTTGCGGGCCAAGAAGCCCCTTGCACACAAGCATTTAATGGCCAGTGCTGCATAGTGCCAACACTCTCCTGCCTCTTCTCAGGCCTCCATCTCATTCCTCTGGTAGCAGGAGTAAAGCAGAAGGACCCACACGTAGCCCATGGCATTGCTCTAGCATCCAGCCTGCCCAAACGACACCGGCAGCAAGGCCAACACATTCCATTTACACATAGTGGTGGTACTCAATACCTCACACATTTGCTGTCCATCAGAGACCAGTGAAAGCATTTTGTTCTCATCTGTGACTGTCCTTGCAATGCTATGGATTATTAGCTATTAAATAAAAATTGGCTCTTGTAGGATGGAAGATGCTATGAAGGAAAGTAAAAATACCAGCTGGTTTCAGGTGCCTCATTTTTGAGGCATCACACCTCTAATGTCATGCGCTTCCCAGACTGCAGGGTTATTTCCAAAGAAACACACACAGTGGTCCCTGTATCACCAGCTCACAGTTGTTTTAGATAGAAGCTCATCAGTAGTGAAAGTCTTTGATGTGCAATGTTGTCTGCAACGACAGAGCACTTAAGTACTAGCCAGGAATACACCGCTTCGGGGTTATTCTTCATGAAAATCTGGGGTTCATGTTTTTAAATTCACTCACATAGACATGTAACAAGATTGCATCACAGCTTTAAAAAGGGAAAACAAAACCCTCATGCTTTTGACTACATATATATTATATTAGGAAAGGACTCTGCAACAGAGTTGTTTTGAAGAGCAACAAGCCCTCAGGTTCCTGGTATGGATCCCACACCTATCCTGGCATCATTAGCGTGGAGGTTCAGTGTGAAAGGGAAAGATGGTCATTTAAGGAGCAGCAGTGACAGAAATCTTAAGTCTCAGGAGGCTGCTGGGAGGAAAATGTGAGGTTTTTGTGTGTTTTTTTTTAAATTTTATTATTAAAATGAAGAGGAAAGAGATGGAAGCAGCAGACTGCTGCTGTCAGTCTGTTGTGGGTGCTGGAGTCCCCAGGAGAAGGGGTACTTTGTGGGCAAAATCACACTTAAGTACTGCCACTGTCCCTTGCGGGCATGGATGCCAGCAGTGCTCATGCCTGTCAGTCTGGTAGCCTAAATAAACCCTTGGGCATGGGTTGAGGCACATAACAACCCAGTCCTGGGTGACAGCCAGATGTTCCCCAGCACCTTGGGTGGGCCCAGGGCTGGTCCCTGCTGACCACTTAGCAAGTTGTTGTCCTCTGCCTGCCTCAGGATTAATGCTGTCTGCAGGGCAGCTACATACAGCAGTGCTGCTTCCCCCCCCTCCCCCCCCCTTTTTTTTCCCCTTTTTAAATAAATTTTGCTCACTCGTGGCTGAGCAGACACCAGGACATGGTATTTCTGCCATATTTCTCCCAAATTGCAAGTAGAGCTTGTTAGTGCAAAGGGGAAGGGGGATGGAGAAAGAAGCCATATAAAGTGTTTGGCACTGTAGTAAACATCACGGAACTGGCACTTCACCTTTTTTTAGCTTCAGCGGGTCTGAGTATTTTGCAAGTTCACCCCTTGGCAAGGCATTCTGCAGCAAGCTTCCAGTGCCTGAACGCTGCACTGCCTCCTCAGTTTGTGCACCCACCTCTGGCATTCATGGGAAGCTGCAAGCAGATGGGGGGACAGCTAGTCCTTCTTTTAAAAACTGTTTGAGCACTTGGCTTCTCATCTCTGAAAGCCTCATGGCAAAGTAGTTGTGATTCTGTTGAGAGTGAAAATAAAAGATAATTCATAAAAACAAACAACACAAAAAAACCCCACCCAACAGTCATGATTTCACACCCCTCCCCCCACACACACCTGAATAAATAAGACTCTGTTACATTGCAATTTACACCAGTCCTATTGATTCATATTAGGAAGGGATTAACAGTAGTAATAAAGAAGTTTAAAAAATGGAAAAATCAACACAGAACAAATCTCTAGGGCTGGTAATAGAGATAATATTCTATATTCAAGGAAGAAATACATTTTGGTTGTAATCAACCAAATCCTGATGGGTTCTTTGTACTTAAATTGTGCAAGTACTGTGACATCTGTTCTACAGCCTATAGAAAGATGAAGTGGAAACTGGGAGGGGCTGGTGAGGTGGCAAGAATGGGAAAAGCAATTCCAAAATGTCTAGACAAAAGTTTTGATTATCTGAAAAAAATGATAGGGAGGAAACACAATGGTGACATCGCCCGCCTACCCACACTCTCAGCAACAGTGGGCTATGGGGATCTGGTGAGGTATTCATGACTAAGGGGGAAGGTCAGTCCTGTGGCCTTTTCCCACCCCAAGCCACACTGTTCGGTACTTGCAAGCTGAAGAAGTTTCAGGCTGCAGGTTTGCTGGGACAGGGTTCAGGTCACCTTTTGGGTGTAGACAAGTCCTAGTTCATACCCTAGACATTATCAGAAGAGAAAGAAGGGGGGGAAAAGACTATAATAGACTTCTAATTATTTTATGTTAACTGAAACAATTTTGTGAGCCCATTACACAAATGTATTTCACCCTGATCTTACATGCAAGCACAGCACTTTGTCATCCCTGCAACGTCACCCAGCTCACCCTTTGTTACTTCTACAGTGCCGTCTGTACAGTGGAAACACTATAAACCAACAGAGTGGGAGCACTTCCAACATGCCTCGTGAAAGCTTGCACTCATAAAAATAGATGGGCAAGACAGAAATCTATAGTCATATGTGAATGGGGGCTCCCTAACGTGCCTGCAAATAAAATCACTTTGTATAAATAGCCATGGGAGATGATTAGGCTAATAAAAAAATCAGGAAAGAAAAAGGGGACAAAATCTTTTTTCCCAGGTGTTCAGTCTGCTGGAGCTTGGAACAACTTCTGTAAACAAAGAGGAGGTGACGGGCACATTACCTGTGTTCCCATGTGTCCCAGTTACTCCTGCACCAGTTGCATTTTCCAGTTGATATCCAAGTGTATGTATATAGTTTGTCTTTGTATAGGAGTGAGTGTGGTGGCTGTCAATCATGTGCTCTTCCAGTATTGTAATTTAACAGATTATGGCTGTATGAAAATGATGTAAATAACTAGAAAAAGAAAAATTAAACTGGATCTCTACGTCCTAGGTTTTGTACATACTGAAACTGCATGGTACTTAAATTATTGTTTGTCTCTGATGTATGCAGTTTCTTAAAAAAAAATAATTTGGAAAAAAAGTATTCCTGTGCCTGTGTGTTTTATCCCACTCTGTCGCAGTGACTGATAGTGTAACAAAGGAATGCAGTCGGGAATTCCAGCCCCCCTGCTGCCAGCCAGGCTCAGCACTGCAGCCTGGCAGCTGTGGTGAGAGAGAGTGCGTGCCCACAGCGTGCCTGTACCTCAGTGGGGAGCACAGCAGAGGAGCACAACTTAGCAGAGCAGATATTGTGGTGGACAGGGACTCTCCCATCCCATTGAAGCCACAGGACTTCAGACTACAGCCCCCTTGCTATC